GGCAGTTTTTAATGGATTTGAATGCCACACTTAATAATAATAATTCTGCCACTTTGGTATTTACCTAAATCTGTAGTGGAGGCGTGTCTCATGCTGGTTCAAAACAAAAACAAAAAATGTAAATGTAAAACCTACTTTCAAATTGCAAATATATCAAATCTGTGTGCAGACAATCACCTCAGGCCATGAATAGCTTTTCCTGTTTGTGATTGCTGTCAGTGCAAACTGATGAAAAACAAGCATAGCTGGGCTCCTGACCTTTCTATAATTACCATGGAATATGTCAGACTCTCAAAAACATTCCATTTTTTAAAATCTCCTAGATGAGGCCTAATATCGCCAGTAAAATCCCAGCAGAGCTTCTGTGGCAAGTGTTTGCTCTCCCCTCTCACCCTAACACAGGAATTAATAATCACAGCCAGATATCTGAATTCCCAAAGCAAAGATCTTTTTTCTTTTCTGTGATTTGATGATTTGGTAGAAAATGCTGTTTAGAATATCTGGGATTATCAGGTTTCCCTTTTCATTGCTTTTTCGCCCACTAAATATATCTTAATAATTAAAAAGAAAGAAAATAAAAGCCCTCCAAGTCAGGGGCAAAAAGCTTTACCTAACAAACACAGGCTACCTGCCTAGAAAGTGACAGGATGTTTGGCTCTTAAGAAAATAACCAGGAGCAGGTGCCCAGAATTCTATTAAATTTAAACATAACATTTCTTCTGAGACTTACATTTGCTTTAGATGACATGAAATAAATTACATTTGTGAGCAGCAGCCACCTGTTAATCTGTACCACAAACAAGTCCCAATAATAATGACTTAGAAATATCTGAAGGACTTGATCAACAATGCAGGAGACAGAAAAATTGCAAGCTCCTCAAAGCACAGCCTGAATAGATGATATTGATTGTCTTCACTGTTGGTATTTCTCTATGGTGTGTGCTACAAACAGTGCAACTAACCTGCAGCATACTGAGGGGTTTCATGAGCCTGTGTAAATGAGTCAGGAAAGAAGGATAAAATAGATTTCTAGTTGTCAAACACAAAAGCAAAGGCAGAAACATTTAGTACCGTTTTTTGAAACGAAACAATTTTGAGAACACATGGGCTGGCTCATGGCTCCAGTCCGAGCCATTAGGCTATTATTGTGCCACCCACTCATTTATTTCTGTTCCACATTTATTTTGAGTATGAGTGTGTTGAAAATGCACCATGACATCATATATAGAAAAATCGTTCCGTCAGTGCAGCGGCTCAACCAGTTGCTGACCTGTTGCTGACATGAGATATCCACACAACAACAGAAATTTATCCAATCAGCGTCGTCAAATCTGATGGCTTAAGGGGCGATTCATTTGTCGCCCCAGTCGAGTCTCTATTGGCTAAATATGGCGTAGGCCCACCTGGATTATTTTTCACCAGCTGCCACTAGTAAAGCAATTTATTAATGTTGATTTTAGTTATTTGCTAATCCCAATGAAATCCATCTATAAAAATATATATAGCCCCTAACTGCACAGGTCTTGTTGATCCTCTGTCACCTGTAATAGTGACTCAAAGTTTCTTGTTTTGTAAGATGGTGTTTGTTATTGTCTGGCCACTTGGGGAGCATGTTCACTATCCTCCTTGCGCCAGTCGCCAGATAAATTGGGTGAGGGTTGCATCAGACAGGGCATACGATAAAAATCATGAGCCAAAACAAACATTCAAATCAGCAATCACCCTTGTTAGGAGGAAGGGAGAGAAGAGGAAAGGCCGGAGTG